GTGCTCTCTGAGGCCTGCCTGGGAATTTTTGATGCTGACCCACCAACTTACCCAGCACCTCTGGGGGCCTAGGAAACAGTAGAGATAAGACCTAGTTTATGGATACTCAAGGGCTTAGGGCTAGAGCCTGAAAAGACAATAAGGGGGAACAGAATAAAATTCCCAGAAAGGTCCCCATCTCTTCCTGAGGAAGCCTCAAGTCCCACCACACAGAAGACTCTGTCTTCATGTTCTAATAATCCTTCCTGGTCCCTCCCAAGCTCCTTAGGCTCATGTCCTACATAGATCAGGCACTATGGACTTCCCACTTGCTTGGGCAAGAAAAGACTGTGGTCTGGAACTGAGTTTTCCTCTCCAACATGAGAACAGCCATTGTTAACTGCTCTCAGGCTTTCACAGCAAATGGAGACAGTTGTCTATGATCTTTATGTGGTTGATTTCTCAATCCTAGGCTTTATTTCAGGCACTTACTGTATTATCTATGGTCCATGCCCCAACCTGAAATAATGAGTCCCCATTTAAAAGCTGGGAAGTCTATCACAGATAGGTCTAGCAGCACACACAGATCACATGGTTGGTGAGCAACCTGGTGTGTCCCTTCCTCAGGTTACTAGATTCCACCTGATGGGTAGAATCCTCATGTGTGAGATAGAAGATAATTAGTTTGGGGAAATGCCTTATTAGGAGGAAAGGGCAACAGACACCAGGAGAGCAGTGGCTGGACCTCTATCATGGTTCACAGCAGGCAAGGCCAGCAAGGTGCAGCCTGGAGGAACAAATAGAGGTGCCCTCCCTGGTGTTCTGAAAGCTATAACCTCTGGCTGACTTGCTGGTGACTGCCACTGTCCTGACTCACTTCCTGGGTCCTTCTGGGGCCTGTTCAGAAGGGGAGTGTTGGAGATCCACAGGCTCAGTGGGATTGGTGGTTAAGACCAAGTTCCTATTCCTGTTGGCCCAGAGAGGAGGTATCAAAAGGCTGGCAACAAGGATGGATGAGATGAATCAAGTCCTGTTGGGCTCACAGAGACTTTCATAGGAGGAGCCTGCAGGGTTTGACTTCCTGACACTCCTGGTAGCACCCTGGATGAGGCTGCAGGAAGCTCTTCAAAGTAGCAGTTGTCTATTTTGCCACCTGCATGGAATGGGGGATTTTCAGAAAGCAGCATGGTTAAAGGGCAGGTGACACCCAGAATTTCTCTGGGGTACATGTGCAATTTCCCTTGCACTCACGACCTGCTCTCCCTTTCTTGTCTGCCTTTAGGAACCCATCACTGACCCAGAGGTGATTAATGGATTGGACAGGAGCTCCATTGCTCATTAGCTTACATACTATGCTGTATCTCCTATTCCCAGATGAGAACTCGGCTGTGACTCTGAGTTCCCATCAGCTTCCCAAGTGAGGATGGAGACTAGTCCCTCTCCCCTAGCTCCAGCCCCTGCATGCTAAGAGGTCATCCAGAAAAATGGGTCAAATGGAGATAGCAGTCAGTTCAGACATCTGTGGGTGATGTAATCGCTCTGGTCCATCCTCTGTAGGACCTTGGTTTAGTTTCTCAATCACTAGGATCCTGTTTCCTTCATTAAATGGCAGGCACTATGGTATCTACTCTTGAGGGTATTATGAAGACTGAATGAGCCAAGGAATGCAGGAATGATGTTCATGGCATTTAACAATCAGGGCGCCTAGACCAGGGACTCTGCTATGCCCTGTGTCACCTTATTTAAAGAGGCAGGGAGCATGCAGGCATCCACTGGGCCTTAGGCTAGGGTTATTTATTCACCCTCATGCAAACATAAATAGTTTAGAAATCTTGATAGCAGTACTGAGTCTGCACATTGCATGTGTGGGTGACCCCTAGCACAATGCCAGAATATGGTAAGAACAGAGTAAATGAGAGCGTCTATCCTTCTGGTGTCTTGATTGACCATGTGGAGCAGAGCTGCCTCCTACTTGGAGACACTCACTTGTAGGCTATTATTTGAGGGATCTTGTAACAGAAGTTTCACCTTCTAGCTGAACTGAGGAATAGAAGAACCTTATCCTCCCACTTAATAGGTATGGCCACCTTGTAGGTGAACAGGATGCACATTAATACTCTGACTTCACGGCGAAAAGAAGGCTTGAATCTCACTTTGTGGCTGCTGAGGGAAGAGGACAAGCATTGCTGTCAATATACCAAAGAAATGTCCAGTTCATCTACTCGCTGGCTCTGAATCAACTCCCATGGCTTCTGAGCCTCAAGTTTATCATCTGTAGAATGTGTCAATGATGCTCCACTTTTTATGGGAGGATTACTGGGAAAAGGTCATTCAGGAGGTGAAGAGTATCTGTTTCTCATAGCAGATGAGCTGTGTCATAGTTGGCCCAGCTGGCTGCACAAGCTATGAGGGCTGTGGGTCAATCATCAGGCAAAGGCAGGCTCTTGGAAACTGAGTAAAAGGCCAGGAAAAAAGCAAGCTCCTGCTACTCTTGCTTACCTGTTTCTGCACCTGTCAGCTTGCTCAACATGCCCAGGTGACAAACTGGCTGATTCATTTTCCTTTACTTCCATAGCAATAGACTCTTTAGCATTCTTAAAAGAAAAAAAAATAAACTTGAAAAGATTCTTTTCTTAGCATTGAAAACATATCCATAAATCTATATTAAGAAACAGAACACAATAGACTCTTTTAGTTGAGAGAAGTCAGCCTTTTGACAGGTTATACCAGACATCCCAAACCTCAGAAGCACATAATGGGAGCTCAGAAGTTATAATTTGCCACTAATTGACACTCAGCTGCCTCCAGGGCCATGCTGCCCCTTTGCTCCTAGAGAGAAGTCCAGAGGAAGCTGCTAATGACCAAGGAGGCAAATTTATTCTAAGATTTGTTGCTGTCTACTATTGTGAAATTAAAAAGACAAAACAAAGTTCCATCTCTCTCTCCCCCTTTTCTCTTTCTCCCTTTCTTTCTCTATATATGTCTTTCTTTCTCTCTGTGCCTCCTCCTCCTCTCTTTCTGTTTCTTTCATCTCCCTGTCCCTGCCCTCATCACCTCCACCACTGCCTGTTGCTGTTTTTGTGAAATAACTCCATTCATCAACCATTTATTCAGCCTCTGTTGTGGCCAGGCCTTTCTGCTAACTTGGAAATCCTGATAGATACGTCTTTTGGGAATTTCTGTACTAGTTTTTCTACCCTATATAACAAACTACCAATTTTTTTTAAGTGAAATTTTTGCTATAGGGCGTGTGTGCTCGCCAGAGAGACTGAGAGAGACAGAGTGAGAAATCATCCCTCAAGAGGGGTGGCCATGCCGCAATCCCTTCTCCTCCATTCTTCTCTCGGGTTCTTGGGCATGCAGGTGGCATGAGTTTTAAGCCTCCAGGTCTGGGACTCCAGCATGGTCGACTATGTGGGAGTCCAGTGATATAGCCATTATGCCATCTGCTGGTCCCCATCTGGAGGTCAAAGTTCTGAGTGCTCTCTCAAGGCTGAAATCAAGGTATCTAAAGGCCTATGTTCTCTGGGGGTTGGATTGAGGAAGAGTTAGCTTCTATACTTATGCAGGTTGTTGACAGAATTCAGGTTTTCATGGTTGTAGGACAGAGACCCCACTTTTTCTGACTTTTAGCCTTACTGCTTGCAGCTCCTAGATGCCGCCTGAGGTTCCTTTCCATGTAGCATAAAGCAGGGCAGCCTACTCCTATGACTTCAGTAGGACAGTCTCTCTGTAGGCATTAAATCTTTTATATTCATCCACTTTGTACCAAATGACAAGGTCTCATTGCTCTTTACGGTTGAGCAGTATTCTATAGCGTATATGTGCCACATTTTCCCATAGGCAATGTGCTACAAACGCTGCTCCAGTTACTGTCTTAGCTGCATCCCACAAATTTTGATAGGTTGTGTTTAATTTTTTACTCAGTTTCAAATACTTTCTGATTTCCACTCTTTTTTTTTTTTTTTTTTTTTTAACCCATGGGTGATTTGGAAGTGTGTCATTTGGACATTTTCTATATATTTTTCTCTTATTGACTTCTGGCTGAATCCCAGTGTAGTCAGAGAACATACTTTATGTGAAATTGTACCTAAACGTATTGTAAACCAGGTTATAATCTCTGTTGGGAAGTTTTCTGTGTGCACTTCAAAAGAATATGGATTATGCTGTTGGTGGGTGGAGTGCCTTTTAAATGTTAAGCAGATCAACCTGAGTGAAAGGGTTGTTCTATATCTTTACTGACTTTCTGTCTACTTATTGGGAAAGGGATATTTACTGTAATTGTCATTTCTTTCTTTTTTATTGCAGTTCCATCAGTGTTTGCTTCATGCATTTTTGAAGCTTATTTAGTAGGTGTATAGATGTTTAGGATTGTTAAGTCATCTTGAGGAATTGGCCCCTTTATCATGATGAAACAAACTTCTTTATCTTTATTAATATTCATTGTTCTAAAATCTAGTTGTCTGACAGTCATATAACCCTCCCAGTTTTCTTGTGATTAATATATCTTTAGTATATTTTTACTTTTAACTTATTTGTTTTTGTATTTAAAATGGCTTTATTATATATTACCTTTCTGACTAATTTGATAATGTCTACCTTTTAATGGACTGTTAGATCAGTTACAATTAATATGATCATTGATGTGATTGATTTGAGTCTATTATCTTGCCAATTCTATTTGTCCCCCATTTTCTGTTTTTACATTAATTAGGCATTTTTATTATTAATTTTATCTCATTTTTAGTATATTGCTGTAAATTTTTAATGTTGTTTTATTTTATTTATTATTATTACTTATACATTCAATTGCTATACATCATTTAGATTATAAAGAGACTACCCAGCATGATATACACCTTAGGCCAGCCCATTTGAGAATACTATACACATCATCATCAACAGATAATAAACCATATCTTTGTCCCAAAAATGTCTTATCTCTCTATTTTTCCCTCAAATTGCCTTTCCTGTGCTCTTCCCTCCTATACTCTCCTTCCATTTTGTCTCTAGTGTCCATATAAAATATGAAGTGCATCATGAATTTGAGTGTCATCCTTGCACAGGGGCCATGCTAATCTTTTCTGTATCATTCTGATTTTAGTATATGTGCTGCTGAAGCTAGTACTAATTTTTATTTTTTAAATTGGGATTTTAAAAACTTTATATTCATTCACTGTATATCATTGCAGCACACAAAATAAATCTGCCCATTCAGAATACACTGTATATTGACTTACTCAATGATATTATCATACATGTTAACTTCATTCACTTTCTATCAAATGCTAGTCCATGCTTATTACAGCATTATTCACAATAGCTAAGACATAAACCAACCTAAATTATGATTTCTTATTTTCATATATTCAATATTCATCTTTGTGGGGTACAGTATGTTTTTTTGGTGGTATACATATCATATTTTTATTATCCATTTACCTTTAATAGAAACTTGGGTTGATTCCATATAAATAGTAAATAATGCTGCACTATACACGGAAGTACAGATGTCTCTAATTTATTTATTTGTATTAATTCTTGTTTACATTCCATCATTGTACTTCTCTATAATGCACACTAGAGATTTTCAAAGTATGTATGCAGTACATGACAATCAAATAAAGGCTATTAACATTTACATACTTTTCCTTTTTTTTAACCTTTTTAATAATAATAGTAATAACAATAATAATAATTTTTTATACATTCAATTGCTGTACATCACTTAGCTTGTATAGAGAATTTACCCAACATGAAATACACCTTAGACCAGTCCAGTTGAGAATACTGTGCACATCATCAACAGGTAAAAAAACATTTCTGTGTTCCACAATGTCTTACCTCTCTCTTTTTCCCCCAAAAAAAACACTCATCACCTCTCCCACCCTCCATACACACTGTCTCCAGTGTCTATATCTATTATCAACAGTCTGCACTCTGTGGTGGAGACTGAAAGATTGCAGGGCATAAAAGCGGTATGGTTTTTTAAAGCATATATGGTGCATGCAATAATCAAATCAGAGATATAAACATATTTATAGTATTCATCATTTAACATTACATTATGCTATGTATATTTGATATTCATTCTATCAGTTTTCACATTTTGGGAGAAAGTATATATTGAATTGTCTATGACTTTTTACTCTTCTATGGTACACTGTTCCATATCTTATTCTGCTTGTTTACATGCATGGTTGCGTCTGTTAATTGTTTTCTCCTGATATCCCCAACCCTCATGCAGCTTCTAATATCTACCATTACTCTCTTTATTTCTATGTTATTGAGTTATTTAGTTTCGACTAAAAAGTGAGGACACTCAGTATATGCTAAGCAGAGATATCCAGTAGTTTGTGTTTGACAGCCTGGCTTTTTCCACTGTATCTTCTAGGTTCGTCCACATTGTGCCTAATAACAGGGATTCATTGTTCTTTATGGTTCAGCAATATTAATTTGTTTATATGTGCCACATTTTCTTTATCCATTCATTGGGTGCTAAGCTCTTAGGTTGATTCCATGTCTCAGTTATTGTGAATAATGCTGTGATAAACATGGATGTGAAAATGTCTCTCCAAAAGAGTGATTTCCTGTTTTCTGTGTGTATACCCAAAAGTGGGATCACTGGGTCAATAATAGCTCTATTTTTAGATTTAGATTTTTGAACACCAGCAGTGCATAAGTGTTCCCCTTTCTTCACAACCACACCAGCACTTGCTATTCTTTGTTTCTTTGATCAAAGCCATTCTCACTGGAGTTAGATGATGCCTCATTGTGGTTTTGATTTGCATTTCCCTTATGATAAGAGATGTTGAACACTTTTTACATGCTTTTTAGCTATCTGTAGGGGTTCCTTTGTCCAGACTGATTGCCCATTTTAAAATCAAATTATTAGTTTAGCTTAGTTTTATTTATTTATTTATTTATTTTTGTGATTTCTGTGCAGAAGCTTTTTGGCTTGATGTAATCCCACTTGTTTAGTTTTGGTGCTGTTGCATGTTTTTTTTTTTTTTTT